CCAGAGTTTTAATAATGTAAAATTTATTATCATAAGATAAAGACTTAAAATCATTTGTCAGCAACCAATCGACTATATCGTTAGATTTTTTCATTTCGTCCAACTTATCCATAATAAATGGAAAAAAAACTTACCAAAAAGTGAAAACCTGAAAACACCTTGAAATTGAAAGAAAACACTTTAAAACACGGTAAAAATATTACCAAAAAGCATTGCTATAATACAATACTGCCTGTTTTATACAGAAATAACAAATATTATCAAGAAACACTAAAACGATTTACCGAAATATTTTTCAGTCCCGGTCCGTCACGGCATCCCGTCCGAATAATTGAATAAAAAACAAACGCAGTCGTACACTAACGGAGCTTGTGTTTTTCAAAGCGGTCGGAGGCTTGGCTCCCTTGCAACGTATGACATTTATTATTTCGGGTTGATGGTTTATTCGTTCATGGGCGGTGCGTTTGACATTTGTTGATGCAGGATACAGTGTGGTACGTACTACGTAGTGAGTGATAGTGTTTTTTCGGGCATATTATGTATTTATATTAAAAATTAATGGTAAAGTAATGATACCCAAGCATTTTTAGATAAAAATAATCATAATCATTTATCAATATCTTTTAATTTATCGCGATGAATAGCCTCAAAGTTTATGGGGAGGCTAAGCCTCCCTTGCCTCCTCTGACGAACCGCCGCTGGTCAGTACGCTGGGAACAATTTTCTGATTTGCAAACCAGTAATAGTTACATGCCATCATTCCACCTACACTAAAGAGCACGAAAACGTATCATAACCTTGCCTCAACCAACATCAAAAAGTATACTTACTTGTAACGGACAACCATATCAGTCTGTTTGTGGAATGTCATGAAATCGTTAAATTTCAAGTGAACGAAACCAGGAAGATTACTTATTGACAGAACCGGCTCGACCAGTTTTGGCAAAGTCATCAGTAAATCTAGATCGAATTCATCGGGCTGGCCAACCCTCAAACCATCATAATAGCTTCCTCCATAAAATACACGTTTGTACATTTCCTTAAATAGACTGTCATTCTCTTTCATTTTTGGTATTATCAGATCGAGCAACTGAAACATAATTTTATAATTTCACATATTGCCAATTCTCAACAACTTCATCCCGCCCGACGATTTCTCAAACAAACCATAGCATATGGTCTGAATCCCAAGTTGTCGTAACTCAACCTCTATCCTAACCTGGCATAGATCAGGTCACTTGAAAATGGTTGAAGGAGGAATTCTGAGGCAAACACCCTAATTAGGATAAATATTTTTAATAGGAAAACCCTTCTATGCTTATTACTGAAGTTTTTTCCCAACACCAAACCGCTATTTTAACACCTCGATAAGTGTTTCGATCACCAAGTGATCATCTTCAAGAGGAAGATCAAAAACAGTTTATGATCAAAAGGAAGTGGCCTCAGCCACTTCACAAACATTTATATCGAATTAAATTCTACAAAGTTTAAGGTTTGCCTAAGTTTTGAAAACTGTACACCATGACTGATTGTGTCACCGATATTGAAACACAATAAAGAATTATGTCTTCTCGTGTTCATGATCTTCCAAGACATGTAGCTTTCCATCTTCTCAGAAACTGTTTGACTATTCCAAAGCTCTTTCCTCCATGTCATGAGATGTTTTCCAACCTGGCATCACCAAACTTATCTGATCAAGTTTGATGAAGAAATTCGTAACACTCTTCGCCTTTTATTGAATGATCAATTGGAGAGCAATGCATGGCATCAGGCTACTCTTCCTGTATCTTATGAAGGCTTAGGCATTCGTACAATCACGGATCTTTCACTACCTACCTTCCTCTCTTCGAGTTATAGTGTGATCAATATGATAGATTCAATTTTACCACCCTCCTTTCCATCGGATAACAATTTGAGCGAGGCCGAACAACTATGGATCTCACGAACTAATCTAGAAGTACCAAGAACCAGAAAAAATCTTCAAGAAACCTGGGATATTCCTCAGAACACGCACTTAGTGAAGGAGACCATAGAATTTTGTTTGAAAACACAGAACTAATTGCCCCCAACCAGGGGTACCATAGCCAACTGGTACGGTGGGCAATAGAGATCCATAAACACACGGAGAATTTTAACAGAAAAAAAGAAGCGGTGAACCTCAATCGAATATGGAACCCCATTTAATGTTCCAGGTTCAAGTACAGGTACAGGTACAAGTGCAGGTACAAATACAACTGATTACCTGACAAGGAATAATAACGCTTTACGAAGCCAAAAAGTTTCTCGTCGGACAGCAAGCCAAGATGATTAAACCTCTGAAGAAGCTAGCCACTCACGCCAGCGAAACGTCAGGAAGAAATTCCAAAAATCCACGGCTTTCTGTAGAACATTTTTGACGGAACGTCTCCATCTCTACAAAAACTCGCTACATCTTCATCATGGCAATATTTAATCACATGAACCAAACATGTTTAGAATTCAGCAAAAATAGAGGCTCTGGATTGAAAATTCCTTAATTAATGCAGCCTTTGGGAGCTAATAACCGATTCAATACTAATTATAAGTATTGGACACGCCTGGAGAAACTATTGTACCTACAAGGAAAAACGTATAACTATAACTTTTCTCATGTCCTGATTCAGACATACGTTTGGAAATTCTCTACCAGAAGCGACCTTTCATGACCAGAGAGAAAACATTAAGAACTCAAAACTTTTAAGTCTTGGTTTAAAATAAGATTACAAAAATACTAATTCAGACTCTATTGTTGAATATTAATTTATTCAAAAATCGTTACCTCTTTCAAAATCTTATTATTTCTCTTCCTGTCGTCATCAGATAAGGAAATACATTTCTTATTGATGCTGTTTAATACGTTCTCCATCGATTTGTATTTTTTAATATCTTCACTCATATTGGAATCTCAACTTTGGAGGAGGACACACCTGTAACACACAGAACGGAAAATAACAATACTTTGGGTAGATATGTTCAGATATGGGTAGATTGTTCGCAAAAAAAATTATCAGTTACACTTGATAATCGATCTTCTATTATACCTGTATTGTTCGTTTTCACTGAATATATGTTCCAAACACTTCAAATATTTCCGAAATAGCGATGATGATATTTATCATTACCTTAAATGCATGGGACACCCGAAGCGTTTCTTTAGGTTTGGCAATATTGTTACAAATTTGGTATTTCCAGGAATTTTAAAAATAATTGTCAATTGTAATCATAATTGGTTTTGGTATACGAGTACCAGACGACCTAACAGGCCTTCTTACAGGTCACTGTCATTTGAATGATCATATGCAGAGACACGGACTGTCGGAAGACAGTGTGTGTCGTCTCTGTTTGGAAAATGAAGAAACAGCAGAGCAAATACTTTGTGCTTGCCCCGCTGAGGACCGAACCAGGTCTTTAGAGTTCGGCAGAGCCGAAACATCTAACCTGAAAAACCAATCACCATACAAACTAATCGGCTTCGTTAAGAAGCTGGGTTTATTTGGTCGAGTGTGAATAGAGGTGAGCCACAATAAACCCTTGCGGGTTGCGGTGGAGGGTCGAATAGACCCTCTCACTTTGAACCTAACCTAACCAGACGACCTCCCAGAGTAGAGTAGTCTTTAAGGGCACCTTGGATGTGTCAACCTCTTCATAATCGTTGGAACTAAATGGACAACAAATATAAGCTATTACTTCCCGTAATGAAAGGTCTCGATGGTCCTTAAAAAAGGTAATGGGGAAGTTCAAACAAGTACTTTACATCTACGATCAACGGAAACTATTAAATTTGAGACAGATCTAACAACATAATGAAATTTATTTAGACCAGATGGATTTTGAAAAAAAGATTGGTAACCGGTCGATTATGCAAGTAGCTACTGTTCTTCAACAAATACGAAAAATCGCTCTACAGTTACCTTTAGATAAAATAAGAATGCTTCCTGGTGGAATGATGACCTGGCACAGGTGACACAATCAAACTAAAGAAGCATTTGAAAAGTTAAGGAAATCACGATATGGTATAGGACATTGGACTAATACTGAATACAACAAAGCTGTGAAGAAATCTGGGAGAATATAATGAAGGAAAAATGCGGGTAGATACTAGTGATAGACTCTACAATTCAGCAAGCCTCACCTCAACGGTACTCTATTGTAGATTCAACGTTTGCCGACACTATACTTGTTGGATGACTTTTTCTGGCTCATCTAGCTCGCGAACCGACGCGACTTAATTGCAACGGTTTTGTTTCAGGCTATTGCCACTAATTTTTTGCCAACGCTGGGCTGCCTGCGTCAGTTATCGGTAAGTTCAAGATTTTTTTAGTATGGTTGAGAACCATCATCTCATTAGTACGGACTTCCATTGTCTAATATGATATAAATTGATTTGAAATACCAAGTTACTTCACGACGTTTCGATTGTTAGTATCCACAATCGTCGAAAAGGAACTATATAGGCATCATGAAAAATGACCTTCAACGAAATGGTTACGCCAGAGTGATGGTGGAACAGACTTTAGCTAGAAGACAGCAAGAGCTCCACAAGGAAGAGAAGCCGCCACAACCAGTACTTGTACTTCTCTACATCAGAGGATTGTCGGAAAGGATGAGAAAGATTGGGTCCAAGTATAACATCAGAACCTGCTTCAGATCTGGGAACACTATCCGTAGCAGCCTCACGAAAACCAGGCGGTTTGGAATCGCGGACTGCGATTCGAAGAATTGCATTTACTGGATACCCTGCGAGGCTATTGAAAGGTCGCATTGCAGCATAAGAAACACACAGAGTGAGGAGAAACCTGCAAATCAGGAATCGCAGAGCACGTTTGGACAACGCATTTAGCCAAGCTAGCGTAGAGATACGCAACATATGGAAACCTCTAATCAAACGGCGGGAGTTGGTGGGGAGCTTCCGCTAAAACTGATGAAGCGAAGAGAGAGAAGAGGGGATAGGAGAAAGCACTCGAATGGCCTATAAATAGTCAGATCTCTGAGGAATAAGTCCAGTTATCACCCGAAGACGATTGTGAATACTAATTATCGAAAGGTCGTGAAGTAACTTGGTGTTTCAAATCGACTTATATCACATTAGACAATGGAAGTCCGAATTAATGAAATTCACCACGAAACATTGTCAACTGCCTTCAAACTAAGAACCATCAGTTGACCCATTTAAAGACCGATGATGGTATTGAACCAAAGAAAGGACAGTATTGTTTGCTTCCCTTACAAAAAAAATATTGAAAAATGTGTTCCCAGAACTTTATTCTTGAAAAGTTCTATTTTTGGGCTTACAAAATTCCACAGACCTAATAAATACAGTATCATAATATAAAAATTGTAGAAGGCCAAAGTAATTTTGTCCTAAAAAATTACTCAGAAATAAAAAATATTTGTGAATTTATGATCATGTATAGTCTTACAATATTACTCTATGGTGCTGCTAGTTTTCGTCGTGGCTTGGCGAAAACACTTTTTAAAGAGGAGTTGAAAAACTTAGAAATTGGAAAATGACAAATTACTTTATTCAGTCTTGTACAAAGGATAAGTAAAGAGTGACGAGAGGCGTCATTACAAACAGTTTTATACAAATGCTTATCAAAATAGGGCTGATACAGCATCTGTCCGGGAAATCGTTGTGGTGGGCGTTTCTAGAGGACTTTGAGGTCACACGAGTTCCATAACTGGCTCAACATAAATGAATAATGTTTTGGTTGGCCAAAATTATTTTATTTCTGATGAAATGCAGCCCACAAGATTACTTCTTTTTTGGCCAACGAAAATGCTAATCGGTGGAGCAGTCCCATACAGTAATATTGTAAGACTATCCGTGATAATAATGAAACAATTTTCACAAACTTTTTTCATTTCAAGACGCATTTCGCGTCTAAGAACTGATGCCAAGAATTGCACAAAAACAGAAATAGAGACTCTTGGACAAATTGAGAATGAAGACCCCCAAAGAGAGTGGTAGATCTGGAGAAGTTTGAAAGTTCAGTAAACTCATTTCAAATATATAAGTCTTCCGGGTCCTTGAGCTTTCTGAGCGATTCGGTTTTTATCTCCTCAATCGTGGCAAAACGACGTTCTTTCATGGATCTCTTCAATCTTGGAAACAGAAAAGTCGCAGGAACCAAATATGGTGAATACGGTGGCTGAGGCATGATTACGATGTTTTTTTGTCAAAAAAATTACGAACAAGCAACGATGATTGAGCAGGTGCAATATAGTGAGAACCGTTTGCCAAGCGGTTCGGCGTGGGTGATTTGTTCACTCACTCGAATTGACTGCCGTGTTGGTCGGTGGTTCAAGCCCTAGTCTGAACGATCGATCTTCACTTGCTATCGTCCAACCCGTGTTAGGAACCACACGTTAAAAGGTAAGACCTCGTTAATCCCTAGCTCGCACAAGTTTCGACTTCTGAGGGTTGTCGTTCATAGGGGTGCGATAGCTGGTTAACGGAAAAACAGATTTTAAACAGACAGATTTTTAAAAGCCATGAATTGTTTTTCCACAATACCGGAGGTTTTCTTCGTATTGCTTCTTGCAAGCGGCGCATAACTTCAAGATAAATAGTCTCTATTGACCGTACGCCGTTCACTTCATTCAACAATTCCATGTGATGTTTTTTTTTTGGAAGAAATTCAGCAATTTTGGAACGAACTTTGCTGCCACACGCTTAATGTCCAAAATTTTCGAAAAAACTGTATTGCATGAGCCAACCGATATGCCGACATCCTCAGCAACTTTTCTAAGAATGATTCGACGATTCTCCATAACAATTTTCTTCACTTTCTCATCAGTTTCGAGAGGCCATTTTCTTCCAGTTATTTTTGCATCATCTACACATCTTTGTGAAGAGTTTATTTTGAAATTAATTGCTTTCTTTCTTTCTTCAGAAGATTCCCACATTTTTTCTAAAAAAATTAAGAAGTATAAAGCGAAAATCTGTCTTTCTCAATACCTGACATATTTTTCAGGTAACCGCTGAAAAAACTTCTGGTTAGTAATTGTCAACAAGTGGTTTATTTTTGGAACATATATTTTACTTAGCGGATTTTTGCTAAAATCCCTTCCATCAGACTCGGTCTGAGTCTGACTGAAACTGTCTGATCATTGAGTGGAATTCAAGAACTTTCCTTATTATCGTAACTTGCAACTAACAATACATTTGACCGATATGCCACAAATAAACAAAAGATACTATGTTGAGTTTACATTTTACCATCCAAGATCCTAGTGTACGGTTACAAAACAATACTACACAAACACTACACACTTGGAACTATTTATTTTCTCATCTAAAACCGTTAGTTTCCTACTACTACGGACTCATTACTAACCTAACCTTACCTAGCCTGTTATATAAATGTTGATGATTCACCAAATGCATATCCAGTGTTTCACAGCGTTTATCCTAAAAATTACGGTTTTCGAAACCTGCTTTTTCGCGATTTGAGATAGTGTAATTATAAATTGTATGTACTGGCTACATTTATGTTTTTCTGAACGATTTTTGCATTAATGATCTGTATTTGATTCTTGCATCTTCAGAAATAAATTAAAAAGGTACTCATAATGTAACCTTACAATATTTTGAAGACTGTTTCAATCACAGTTTCCAAAAGAAATATTTTATTCATACATTTATTTACATATCTACATACAATATTATTATCTTTAATATAACCTCCAGTAACGTCGTTTTATTTTTATGTTTTGTCAATATACGTCTCACTTGTATTGTTAACATATTCTGAAAGATCGTTATTATTATTACCAGTGTTTCTGGGGAATTTTGTTGCAAGCACCTCTTATGCTATACATGAATTTCACGAATACCTACGAAAAATCCAACGGTGTCATATCAGGAGATCTAGCGGGCCTATCTAAGGGATTACGCCTACCTATCTACCGATTTGAATAGATGCCTGACTCATTTCATCAAACCTAAACCTGATACGATTTTGTTTCATATCCAGATATAGAAGTCCGGTGGTTAGACAATACAGCCCGAGAGTATCTTAAATTATTCTCGGGTATCTACTATTCTCTTTATTCCATGAATAAACGATCCCACAGTAAAGCTAAAGAATTAGAGTACTTCATCTCCTGAAGACGCCAACTTGGTTAGTGTGAATCGCGCGTCGAGAAAAATGTTGCAGTTATGGTATTTTGAGAACAGTGCTGGTTTTGGATTCATTACACGCCAGAAATTCTAGTTTCATCTATCATCTCCTAATCCAATATTCGCCGAGGTGTTATACCCTGAAGCCTAGATTTTCTGACAGGCGTTCACTTGTGTTCAGTTTTACTAAGGTAACATTTCCAGTTTCATTCTCAACATATTTTCAAGAATATCTCTAAAGATCGCTTGTTAAACAACCGAACAACAGGAAAAAAGCAATTCAGTTCATTTTCTACAGTTGCAACTCTGATGACTGCCAAAGCGGCTGCGCGGGGATTCACTGGTATACGCAATAAAAGTTGTACTCTCCCTCGCCACGTCAAGCAAAACATTGACATGATGATATATGGACTGGCCGTCAGGTCTACTTGTGAATCACGCAACGTCTCGGCAACTGCGTCATAGCATCGTGTGACAATTGAAATACCAAAATTTTCAGAATAGGAATTTGCAACACGTAACGTACATTCGATTAGCGATTTATTTGTTTTTTTTTTTTTTGGTTAACCGGTCTCGAGCATATGTTCACAGTTTCAGCTGATCAGCATGTTTAATTTTTTGGTGAGAGGCATACAAATTAGAAGTGTTTTGCAAGTTCGGCCATTTTCTGCTTTCGAAAAGAATGAATCAAAGAATTTGCATCAAATTTTGTGTAAAAATGGAATTAAGTGCTCAAAAACACTTGAAATGTTGACAGTGACATACGGTGGTTGGACTCTGAGTCGGAAAAATGTTTACAAGTGGTTCAAGTTTTTCACATAAGATTGTGAAAATGTGAATGACGACGCTCGCCCTGGACGCCCCAGCACATCAACAACCGTTGAAAAGTTTGGAAAGTGAGGAAAATTGTTATGGAGAATTGTCGAATCACTATTAGAGAAGTTGCTGAGGATGTCGGCATATCGGTTTGCCCAAAAACAATACCGTAATCATGCTTCAGCCACCGTATTCATCAGATTTGGTCCCTGGGACTTTTTCCTGTTCCCAAGATTGAGGAGAACCACGAAAAGACGGAGTTTTGCCACGATTGAGTAGATAAAAACCGAATCACTGAGAGAGATCAAGGACATACCAGGAAGTGTATCGAAACTGCTTCGAGGATTTGAGAAAACGCTGGCACGAGTGTATTATATCTAAACAGGACTACTTTGAAGGGGACAAAATAGAAATGGATGAATAAAGAAATATTTTTTGAGAAAAATAAAACTTCACCTTATTTTTTGAACCGGCAGCGTATCTAACATTAAGTGTATGAGTGACGTAAATACCAAGACGTGAATTTCTCCATCTTTTTTTAGTTGTTCTCTCCTCAACGGGCAGTCCATATTATGTCGTCACTGTAGCAAAATATAATAATTGTTGGTTGTTTATCTATGCGTTGTGCATTGTTTACTCTTTGTTGCTAAGCTGTAAGTATAAATAAAAAAATAGCCGCTCTAAGTCTTATCTGCTGTTGAATAATATAGCCGATTCATGGAAATTTGTTTGATATCGGTTCATTAATCATTTGTTATCATAATTGAAAGCATTCATCGTATTGATATCTTACAGCCCGTGTCGACTCCATTTTTGTAAATTGGCAACTGATAATGTGATGAACAATTGATAAGGCAGGGTGTTTTCAATAAGTGTCCACCATTTCACAGAATAATTTTGCTGGTAATTTTTAGATGAACAGTTCATATAAGCATATAGATCGGCAAGGTTTTCGTTTTTGAGACCTACAGAGTTTTGTTTATTTTCCTGTAGTTCAAAATTTATTTTAATTTTTTTTAAGTAAATAGTTTTCAAAACAATATCGATATTTGGACGCAAATTGATACAGGTTTTTTTTAACATATGCAGTTTCAATTAATGTCGTCACTTGTATACTTAAGGTATTCTTATCAAAAGTTACTGACCAATTTTCAAAGCTTTTTGATTTAAACTTATCCATAGTTTTCAAAAAGACATAGTCTTGTGAAATAACATGAGTACAAGTTTTCTCATTTGCCTTCATTTCATAATCGTCAAATAAATATCACTGTAGAAGTAAAAATTTAAAAGCGATTTCAAAAGATCGACTGCCGTTCGAAGTTCAGTTTTTCTGTAGTAATATCATCATTGATTCGATGTAGTTATGCAGCTCAGAATACTTCCATTACGCCATTTGCATTCTTAAGACACATCTGGTCTCGTGAATCACTTGTGATGTCGAAGTATTTCCAACAGCTTTCTGGAGACTGTTATAACATTTTGGCAAAGTTTTAATAGTATCCGTCTCCTACCATCTGACCAGAAAGACCAATCATCATACGAACTAATCGGCTTAGTCAAGAAGCTGAGTTCATTTGGTCTAGTTTGAATACGTGTGAGCCACAATGAACCCTTGCGGGTTGCGGTGGAGGGTCGAATAGAACCATTCACTTTGGACCTAACCTAACATAACCTAATAGTTATGTTGATAATTGATGAAGAGTTGAATTTTGAATCGTGAAATTGAGTTACTTATTAGTGACGTCTAAATGCTGTGGCGGCTCATGGGTATCCCCAACTTCAGCTTTAGCTTCTATTTTAAATTGTTTTGGGCTATAACATTTTCAAATAATTTCCTTTTAGATTTCAATTTCCGCTGCAGAATGAATGTTTCGTGTATATATTTGTTACGCTTGTTAATATTTTCACGAACCGCCATCTGTTGGTCGTAATTACTCTCACCAGCTTGTTGACATCTGTCGAACAATGAGTTCTACTACTTGAGTTCCCTTTAGTACGGAAGTGATCAGTTGATGTCAAAATATTAACGCACGTTATTAATATTTAGACAATGTCAATGTAAGTGAGTTAAAAGTGTACCGCGAAACTTATTTTTCGTTAGATCCAACTTTCGAGCTAACATATCACATTTCATAGTAAGTAAATTTTGTATCGTAACCTCAAATTGGAAATAGATCTGCTAATATTCATTGTCAGATATCTAGGTTTGAATATAGGAAATAAAGTATGATCTATTCACTTGATAATTGATGAAGAGTTGAATTTTGAATCGTGTGTTATTAGTGAATTAAAAATTCTTCATAAAAAGGGTTAGTTAGTTCGGAGCAGTACTTCAAGAACTTATTTCGGCTGCACAAATTGATGACGCATGTGGAGTCTCCCATTGCGCCGAGTGTGCTGATAATTGTGCATTCATAATGCCATAAATCATTCAGATTTGGATCAACTTTGACGATATCTAAATTTTCCTAGAGATCTTCGAATTATTAGTACATGTCTAAAAGATTCAATTACTCTATTATATAGTATAGTGTTCTCCTATCTAACTAGTCATTTCTGAGCCGATCAGAACTCGGCCACGATCAAAACTCCGGCCCCTTATCCTATTCGATATCTGTATGCAATTGCTTACAGTAATGCATGCAATAAAATTCGTTCATATTCCTGATGAAAATGAGTTTATTGGATGGCAAGGAACATTTTTCTTGAAAATGGACAGAATTTTACATAGATAAATTGTGAATATTCGCCTACCGAACTATTCATTAAGGGTTTCATTTGGTAGTACCACTACAAAAATTTTCTGTAGCACGTAAATAATATCAATTTATTGATAAATTTCACATCATTATGAAGCAGTTTTCCTTCATTCGTTTTGAAATGAAGTTACAGCGTTTCTCCAAACCGTTTTTTTTGTCATGCTCCATGACTGTTAATTTTAGCTCAAGCATTGCTTCAAAAATAGCATTTATCAAATTCCATCCATTAGTCTAATCAACGAAGACAAAAAATGGTTAAATCACTGGAATAAATAGTGCAGAAGGCAACATTGATTATATTAGGATCAATAGGTACTTGAGGCGATATGGAGGGTAGAAAATGGAAAAAAAGTTTATTATCAGAAAACAAGTATTAATAATGATTGAAATTGATATAGGTATGTCGTGTGAATCATGGCTGATGTTTTACATAGGTCAAACTGGAACCCTAAGCATCATGGAACAATACCATGATGCTTAACCATCAGAAAATAATCCAACTCTCGTCGTCACAGAAACCACTAATTTAATAGACGGATAAGTGTTGAGTGGAACTCATACTCCACTATTTTGTCTTTTTTCGAGCAGTATATTGCCTTCATGCGAAGGCATAATAACAGGTGTGCGGTGATTT